GGTTTCATTTTCGCGTATAGCTTTTTGAATTTATAAGTAAGGCCAGAAGCCCTGCACTCTAAAACCATTCCAGGGTTTCCTGTCTAGGGCTTTGAGGCATAGAGTCTCGAGTTGCGGGATTTATCCTGGACACTGCAAGGCTGCTCCTCTTTGGATTTTCTACGGCTTTCTAGTGACGCCATTCGTGTGATCACGTCTCTCTCTGGCAAGAACTACTCATGGCAAGAACTAGTATATGGCACTGGCAGGTCTAGGTAGCGTCTTGTGCATTGCATAGGGTTAAGATTGTGGGTTTACTGCCAGGCTCAGTCTAGGGGTTAGGACTTTACAAGCGGTGCGCAGGGTCAATCTTCAAGCCGCATCTTTCGACTTTGGTCGATCCACTGCAGTATACGCGCAAATTTGCCAGAGACAGGTTTACACATTCGAGATTTCTAAGTGATGGCCTTTTCACATGCATCGAACATAGCTCTTGTGCTCTAAGGATCATGTGGGGAGTTCCAGAAGTAACGCGGTCCCTTTTCTGTCCTGTAATGAGGGCTGTATATTTTGGGGAGGTATATAAGCAAATCCCCCGAGCTTTAAACACCTCAAGCGGATGTCCTACGCAAGCCAACAACATGGCACCCAGAAATTGGAGCCCCTCAAACAAGACCTTCAATGCCTCAACCCTTAAGCCGCAACTCAAAAAGCTTTAGGGACATACGCCCTAAACCCTATACCATGAACCACAGTAGACCCGCAACCCCTAAGCCTGAACCCCAGAACCCAAAACCATAGAACTCTAGAAGCTAAACTGGTTGAAGGAATGATGCCTAGCAAAGAAACACTCCCGCGCTACTCTGCACCCCAACCCCTAAAACCCTTTGTAGCTTGGGTCACGACAGGCTACAAGAGGCGGAGGAGGGCTTTGGCCTAAGGCCTGCGCGGATGGGTCGTTCTAAGATCGAATGTCGGGGGCTTTAGGGTTAAGGGGTTTAGGGTTGAGGGTTTTAGGGTTGAGGGGTTTGGTTCCCATATGGGTATTGTGATCGCCTTTATTCTAGTACCAACCTAGCAAAACCTCCCGTGCTGCGCATTCGGACCCATAAGCGTGGCAACATACGGCCAGCTCCCGGCAAGGATGGTCCAGATTAAGTTGATATCCGCATGGACAGGACCAGTCAGAAGATAGAGAGGACTTGTCAGAAGATAAATGCCCTCCGACTTGGAGAGATTTATCTTGGAATTGTTCTTGTAGGCTGCCTCCCAAAAAAAGCTTAGTTGGTTAGAGATACCCAAGAACGACTGCGCTGAAGTGCACCACACAGGGATCAGGGTGGGAATTTTGGGGTGGGGTGGGAACGGCAAATTCTTGAATCCCTGTGCTAGGATTCTGTGCCCAGCCGCGGCCAGGCTTCGAAAGGATCATGTTCATGTGTGTAAAGGTACGCAGAACTTTACGGGGCCTCATTGGCGCTCATCCTTAACATGGCATCTCTCAACCCTACACCCTAAACCCTCGGCCCTAGATAGTAGTTTCCATTTTCTTTTCTAATTATCCCTATATAACCCCTATATAACCCCTATACACACCTAGTGACTTCAGATTGCCAGTCTTCTGGGGCTCTAAGGAAGTGGATCTCAAGTGGAACGAATCCGCAGCGTCATAGCCAAAGACCTCTTACTCCAGATTGGAGGTGACCCTACACCCAAAATCCTCTGTACATATAAACATATTGTATTTAAGGAAATCATATTGCGCACTACATGCTAACTTGGCTTACGCTCCTTCAGAGCACCCTAGATATTCTAGTAAGCATCTAGTCGGGGTAAGTGCAGGAACAACAGACTAACGTCACTGCAACGGATAAGCATCGTAAGTCCTCCTTAAGGTTCCGGGTACCTATATGAGCTACTATCTAAATTCCTAGTATCCCCCNNTCCCCCTTAATGACCCTTATAGTAGTCCCCTATATAGTTCCCAAAATGATCCCCCTTTAAGGAGTTTAGATTATGGCGCATATGGCATGTACTTGGGGGCCAAAGAGGTTGCTCTGCAGGTACTTTGTGGCCTAATGAAGTGGGTGCCCGGATTAGGGGTTATGTTATACTATGGGCCAAGAATGGAATCACAATGTTGACAAACCCCCAACTGAGTGCTAGCGTCATGGGCAGTCTGACCCGCGAATTTTGCAAGCTGTTGGGCGCTCACCTGCCCTAGACACATGAGGACTGAAGGCTAGGGCGTCCTTGCAGCACTGCAGCAACATCGCGGGCGTCATGTGAGGTAGGACTCTGTTTACGGTTAACGCAGATTGACTACGCTCATCACTAGGTATGCCGAATGCCATTAAAGCCTACGTCCTATGTACACTCGCCACAACTAACGTTACAGCCCTACCTCATGTCCGACATGCCATAGGCAGTGAAGCCTTGGGCTTTAGAGAGTAACCACAAGCTTCGGGTGTTTGGGTTTAGGGTTCAGGGTTTGGATCTCGTCGGCGTGTGTGGTTCAGGGTCGTGAGGGCTTGCGGTAGAAGGGCTACTTTGGAGTTTGATGCAGGTTTTGGCAGGGCTTCTCAATCAAGACTATCGTTCCTTGCAGCAAGGTTCCTCAAGTTTCTGGATAGATTGGGCCTCAGAACTGCTTAAATTCTATATGACTCTGAACCAGCCACGCTCAGGCACTCCGCGTACAGGCGCTGGTCCATTTTCACTGCTGAGAGCGTGCCTTGAAGAGGGGTCTTCACATAATGGGTGTGCGCCAGGGTTTTGGGGCATAGGGATCTTCTAGGGACCCTAGGAATAAGCATGAAGATCATGTAGGCATAATTTTGGAAAACTCCGAAGGAACCTAGAAGCTAGCAGGAAAAGACTACCGTATTGGCGTTGGGGAATGTAAGGTCTGAACAGCAGAGTAAGGTTTTGGCAAAGCAGGTCTTGCTCTCAAAAAATGCGAAGGGGCAAAAAAAAGAAAAGGGGGAGCCCGGATCAGGCACCATAATTGGGGTTGAGGGTTTAGGGTTTAATTGTCACAAACTTCCATCTAATTTTAGCCAATTTTTGCATAAACTCCCTACTACAGGCACTGAACCCCCATTTCTAAACCCGAGACCGCGACCCTAAACCCTCAACCCTCTACCCCGCACCCTAAACCCTTAACCCTGGACTCTAAACCCAACCCTAAACCCTTAACAGTCGTCCGCGGTGCAGAAGTGCGCATAAGGAACCAGGAAGAAGTGCCAGACTGTATCCGTCCAAACACCTTGCGAATGGTATGTTTAGGGTTTGAAGCTTATGGTGTAGGGAATGGTTGAGGTGTAGCAGGACAGGAACTGAGGTTTAAAGTCCACGTGTTTGCGTTTTGGAGGTGGGGGGTGAATAGTTATTCAGGGAGTGGCTTCTGGTTTAGGGGTCAAGGGTTTGATGAAGGATCTACAGGTTCCGGGCTTGCAGTGCGAATACGTGAGGACCCAGATAAGGAGGACTTCCAGGGATATCTGCAACGTGCACTGCTTGAATTACTCTGAACTGGACAGCTCTGGGAACTGTTCCTGCATCTTTGTGAGATCTAGTAATGAAGGAAGGGATCCTAATGGTAGTGCTCATATAACCCATTATAACCCATTATGGTAGTTTCCATGTTCTTTTCCATAGCACTTGCAAAGCCGTAGCGTGCTGGAGCTTAGGGTGATGGAGGTTGAAACTTCCCTAAAGCTAGCAGTATCTGACCCTGAAGCGACTTCTAGGCCTGAGATCTAGCTAGTTTAGGGTTTAGGGTTTAGGGTTTAAGGTTTAGTGTTTAGGGGGCAGACCTGCTACCTGCCTTGGTACGAGGAACCATGGTTCAAACCTCATTGTGCGTAGCAAGCTCCGCGCTGTTCAAGTTTGCAGCAGACCCTTTGAAGCCTATGCATTAGGTGGACCCCTCACCCAGTAGTAGTGACTATATGAGAGAATGGTAATTATACTAGGGTCCTCAAAAAATGTTCCTCTTATACTACGATTACAGGGTGGGGGTCCTCCTAACCTATGCACCCCATCGCTGGAGATACCGCGCAAAAATGGCTTGTAGAACGACAGCACTTCAGGAAATGACGGTGAACGCATGTGCACGCGTAGTGCGCCCACAACATTCTCCATGAAGGCCCGAGTTTCCAGGCTTTTCTCAAGTCCAGGTTGAGCTGAACCCTATGCCCTCAAGGACTCAAATGTTGAGCTCCAACTCTTCTCTCTCTTCCACGAAACAATCATACACTGGCTACCTGGAAAAGTTAGGATCCTTTGCTGGTACAAGAGGTAGCAGTACCCCCAAAAAACATTCTGTAAACAACTAATGCTGACCCAACTCATCTACAGCCCAAATCAATTTAGGGGCTTGAAGATTAAAACCTAAACTTCAGAACTCCATAAACTAATCCCTAGTTACCATTTGATTGTCCATTACTTGTATCCCCTCTATCATACCCTCATATAACCCCCATAAGATAAACCCTAAATCCTAAATCCTAAACCCTAACCCTTAAACCCTATCCTAAACCCTAAACCCTGACCCCTAAAACCTAAACTCTAAACCCTAAACATTAAGCCCCAATACACATATTTCTGAATCCAAGTCACCGAATGGGTCGAACTGGAAGAGCCCAAAGCCGGCAAGGATTGCAGCAGCTGCCGGCCAAACGCAATGATCCTCTTTAGGGTTGAGGATTTAGGGTT